GGAGAGGGGGTACCTCTTGGAGTACCGCCTGGGTTACACTAGCAAGAGATATACCTCATAGAACCCAGATGTACCCACAACTGCTTCACTCTTAATCTGTCCTGTGCTGATGGGATAATTTTTGTGCAGATATGCAGTTGATAACACTTCTGTCCCTCAGTACAGCGGCAATCATTAAAGTGAGGATTTCACCATATCTGATGGGTCCAAACAATTACAACCTACATTTCCCACTTGCTCTGAGACTTTATGGCTGTATCTACCACCAAAACTGAAAACAGTAATTCTCCACTGGCTCTTCTTCATTGGTGGTAGCAACAAGGGAGCCTGAACTCAGTGCAGGATGAGATAGCAAAGACTCAAGTTTATTGAGCGTCGTGTTATGTCATGGAAAGCCAATTCACGCATCTGATTTTTTATAATGCTGGGAATAATGTTGCTAGCACAAGTTTTTTGTTCTTTTAGATTTATAGAAAATACTAAATAAGTCCTGAAATGAGTACTTGACTCATCGGTATTATGTTTGCTCCAGGGCCTTCATAAATAAATGACTCCAGCCACAAGAATGGGAAAGAGTGCTGCCAGGCTGGCAGGTATAGAATATATTGTAAACTTAAAGTAAAACGATACGTGTTTTGGTATTAGCAGATTCAACAGGAAGTAACTGTAGATTCACACAAGCAGATTCAACACATTTACATAATTCACAGTCTGATCTGACATGTTGGCTCAAACTCATCTCCCCTTTAGGGAGAAGTAGCACTTACATTACTAACTTTAGTGTCTTAAGTGGAACTGTGGATCACTTACATGGATCTGAGATCCTCTTCTTCCCTACATAACTTATATTGCCTCTTTGAGCATACTCAGAAGGGATTATGATTTGGCTTCTTACATTGTTGCAATTCTGTTCCACCTAGGAGAGTGCAATGCTCTCTCTAAGTCACCAAAATATTGGCCTCAATAAAAACATGATGGGGGAGGAACTCTTCTTAACTTTTAGCCCAATAGTCTAGTGGTTAGAGCAATCATCAAGGGACTGAGATCTCTTGGTTCTAGGTTCCCCTCACCCAAGCCACA